GTTGGAAAACCAATGGAAAAATAGTTGGTAGTGTTGGGTGTTTAATTGGACATAGAGTAAAATATTAAGCAAAACGACGTTTAAAAGACGTAAAATGAGAAACGACACTTGATATGGCCTTTCGGCAACCTAGGGATGCCTAATAAAATGAGACAGAAAATTTAGAAAAATAAAATGCAAATTTGCACATGTTTGGCCGAACCTACAAGGGTGTAGGGGAGGTTTCTGACGTTTTTCGTATTCTGATAGAATTGATGTGTACTGATGATTCGTACATGGTTGTTGTAAGTTGTCGTACGTTGATTTGAACCCCGAACCGTGAGTCGGTGGATTGCCCTTGGTCCTGGACCAAGTGAGATTGAGGTAAGTGATTGGAACAATGCTTGTATAATTAGTAACTTGCATGTGTTCGTATGAGTTTTAAGTAATTGGGAATGTCCTCTGTGTAGGCATTTCTGTTGAGTAACGAGCTTGGAAACTATACTGCTTTGGAGCTAAGTGGAGAGGCTTATTAAGGTAACCTCTTGGTACTGGGGCTTGATCCCCTTGTGTGTTCCACCATGCCCGTTGAGGGTGATGGTAAGAAATGTATGTAAGTAATGTAGAACAACATGATCATGCATTTAGTATGTATGTTGGTACATAGGTACCATGTCTCTGGCCAGTAGACAGTTTTCCTTCGGGCATTTCAGACTTCCACTGGATAGGTCTCCGAGCGGGAGTTCCAATTGACCTAGGGTCGTGGTGTGTGATCCGGATAGGAGCACACTAGGAAGTCTCGGGTGTATATGGATGGGAGGGGTGCCTTGGTTGGATGTTCTTGGAACACGCCTTGGATGAGACCCGTAGGCTTATATGCCGAGCCATTAGGCAGGACGTTGCGTGGTATTGGTAGCTACCATTCCAGCTTCGTTGTATTTTATATCCCTATGATCCTCAGTTTCTCTAAATCCCTTGCTTTATCCCATTTTTTCAAGATGTTGTTATATATTATTTATGGGTTTATCATCTATCATTTAACATGACCACAAAAATTTTCCTACACTCACAACATTTTGTGGGGCCCGCAGCAAAAAAAAAAAAAAAAACTCTGGCACGCAAAACGAATCTCTATAACATAACACAATCACTTTTCCTACAACATAACTCTTATAAAACCCATTATTTATATACATCGAAGTGAGCCATTGGGAAGAGTTTTCTCCGGAACCTCTGGGTTACTGAGATATATTCGTATATCTCACCCCGTCTTGGGGGCTTTATTTCAGGAGGTAGCAGTAGTACAGGAGCAGCGGGCAAGAAGCCCGTGGGATGAGTCGTTGGAGGACTTTTTATATTTTGCATTTTGATGGCCATTGGGCCTAGGCTAGACTTAGGGCATGAACATTGTATATGTTGATAGGTTGAGATTCATGGTCATATTTGTTCATGCTATTTTTGCCTAAGTCTAGGTACATGTAGTTTATGACATTGGAGATTTATGAATTATATTGTAATTTGATAATTATAAAGATTGTATTAGGACCTTGTGTAATTTGAAGCTTATGTAATATGATGAAAGGGCAGTAGGCCTATTTTAGGATTATGATTATGTGTATGAGTAGTAAATGCATGCAATTGAACTTTGATGATTGAAACTTACTAAGTATTGATAAAGGAAGCAAAGTGATAAGTATCTTATATATGTAAAATAAACTGTGAAGGGTTGTAAGTGCCTCAAGGCATTGTTGGTCCTTGTGTTTGCCACCCAATGATTATTAGGTACATTTGAGGTTCTAGATGACATTAGCAAAATTGGAGATTTTTGTGAAAACAAAAGAAACTCTGGCGAAATTTCTAGAAATTGGCATAATTTAGGAAAACTTCAGAAGAGCATATCTCCCTCCACAGAGGTCCGATAGGGACATTCCATACGCCATTTTGAAGCTTGATATGTCCTTTATCTTGTGGTAAAATTTGGTATAATTCTGGGTTGGACGTCGGCCTGGAGAAGGCAAAGAGTGCAGACTGCCCATTTGCTCACTGCACTTGTGGCAGTTCTGGACCGGTTTTGGGAAATTAATTCCTGCTTTTTTTCTTAGTCAAATTAAGTTTATGATATATCAAATTGAAGCTTGAGGTGTCTAGTTTGTTGTATAAAAATTTGAGAGAAATTGATTGAGTGGATTTTCTGTAGTAATTCGTGGAGTGAGAGGTGTTTTGAGCTGTTTTCGGGTTGGATGACAGTTTTGCTTGTCCAACTTCAAACGGCAATATCCGGAGAAAACAAGCTCTAAATAAATCATGTGATAGCTTCCTAGAGATTTAATTGAGTGTAGAATAACATATAAAAATATGGGAGATTTTCAGAATGCAGTTCATCCGCAGAAAATTAAAGACCGAACTATGTTCGGATAGGTAGAAAACGTAAAATTGAGAAATTAGCTAAGTGGGTTTATGGGAACCCCTTAGTGACTTGTAGTAAGTAAAATAACTTATAAAAATAGTTTAAACAAGTATTCTGCAAGAGTTTACAGTTACAATCACAGCTTTTAATTATTACGCTTTTTACTGTTCTAAATACTCGCGTAATAACGGAACAAGTTTACTCGCATTTTTATAAATGAATTGCTGTGATTGTAACTGCGCTTAATATCATAATTAATATTAACAATACCGGTGTACAACAGGCTGTTACAAGGCCACACACAAAGGTAAGGTTTTAATGATAATTTTAATGCATAACCTTCATGAAACTTGTAGTTTTTTTTTTTGTAAGGATTTCATTTCTATCATTTTTTATTTGTAAAGAAGCTTGAAAGGTCTTCTTTATTCTTCTCACAGCCACGCTCTGTTTTTAAATAGGGAAGAAAAATATATTTTAACGTAGTTTGAAGTTAAAGAGTTGTTCTTTGTTAACTTGGCAAGTTAGTTTTAGTTAATTATACTCATTTGGTGTGTAGATTAGAAATTTCAAGTGATTTATATGGTTGTTTGGAGGGGGCTGTTTTGATGTTACATACTTATATATATGATGATGAATTTTATGAATCATGATTGATAATTGGTTGTTTGAAGTCTAGGTAAGTTGGTATGTTTGAAACAAAAATAAAGGGAATATATATATATATATATATATATATATATATATATATATATATATATATATATATATATGTTAATAAAGTGCAGATTTTGTATGATTAATGTGGTGCAATCTAAGTGTTTGATAGAATGTCAAAAATAAAAATTTGAATGATAAGTGAGTATTTGATATTATTTAAATTGAAGTAAGTGGTAAAGTTAGGAAATAAAGTGTGAAATCCTTATAGGATAAATGAAATAATACATGTTGATTTATGTGTTTATATGATTAAAATAAAATGTAAGATAGTAAAATTTGTGATCACATTCTTAGTTGAAGAAATTTACAAGAAATGTTTATAATGAAGACAACACTATTCTCTTAATTTGATTAAGTGGTTGTACAAAGAAGTAAATGATAAGTTGAATAGGTCTTTTTATGGTTATGTGGAAATTGAGAGTTTGATAAGGTGTAGGCTTAAATTAAGAGAATCTACAGATAAAAAGGCTAAAAAGAAAGATATGGAATTTTGATGGTATACGAAAGTTTTGGTTGTGTCATTATGTATTGATACTAAGTATGTGACTAAATGAAATTATAAATTATATGTAAATTGGGGATGATAAGTAAGTGTAAGTTAAAAAGAAATTATTTGAATGTTATATATGTACTTGTGAAGTTTTAGAATTTTGTTATGATTATGATTTTTCGTTAAATATTATAAGTTGATATGAATAGAAATTAGTAAGAAAAAGTATGAAAATTCATGATATTAGAAGGGATATAAGTCGATTTATAAAGGGTATAAGTATGGATTTTGGAATTTATATTATTTAATGTTGATAAGTATGTATGGTATTTCCTTTATATGTTGAGTAAGTAAAATTGTGGGATGTGTTTGTATGAATTAAGATTATGGATTAAGCATGAAAATTAGAAATGGTTAATTTATATGTTTAGATGAGCTTCGACCATATATGGTGAAAAGGTATAATATGTTTTATTTAATGGGAATGAATAATTAGTAGCAAATGCCAAGTGTGATTGAATATGATACAAGTATGTTTGGAGTGTGATTATTGATATTTCATCTTCATGATGAATGTAGTGATTATATGTTCGATTGTTAAGAATTATGTAGACTATGAACATATGACAAGGTTGTCTATGTTTATAAAAAAAAAAAATTGGATTTGTTAAGCATTATGTATGGTAAAAATATTTATAAGAAGTTAGTGGTTTAAATAATTAGTTTAAGGGTCTATTATGACTTGTATTTTAAAAGGGAAGTATGTATGGTATGTATTTTATTAATAAAGAATTGTTGGAATCACTAAGTTAATGAACGTTTATAACCGAAAGAATGTTGGTTATTCAAAATAATATAATAAACTGTCATTAACGGTACATTAATTATGGTACTAGTGAAAAGCAAGAGGTGTGAATCCCATAGATTCAAACCCTGCGAGACGGACTACACGTGGATAGCTAAATTCATAGACTTCGTGAAAAACTAGTTGTAGAAACGAAAAGCATACATGTAAGCTTTCGATTTAGGAGTTTTCTCCGTCTTTGTTGTTCCGCCATTATCAGTGGCAATTATGGTTTCCGTAAGGATATTACTGTTGTTAATATTGATACTTTGCATAGTTGCATTCGTATAGTGCATGCATATGATATTATTTATGATATGTTACGATATTTTATGATAAGTTAATCCGATATGATCTTCAATGGGATATTGTAACACCCCGTATATATCCGTTAATGTTATCATATCATCGTATTAAGCTATGCTTAAATAAAAATGCGGAATATATTTTTCTTGTCAATTATGACGTCATTATACTTAGCCAAGTTGATTACTTAAACATTTCCATAAAACATCGCTTGTATGTACATTGCAATTAAACAGCTACTGAAATACCTCATATAATAAATCATTACACTAGGTCTCTTGTCACGGAACTACAACACATAGCCCGGACAATCCTAATAGTTTATACAACTCAACGTAAAAGTACTAACAACCAAGTGGCATGAACAAATTCCATGCTCACCCAAATAAGGCACAAGCCCAACATAGTCTCAACATCAACAACATAATAATAATGCGAAAACATAAACAACATCCAATCCAGTCATGCCAGCATAAATATAACGGCAATAATCATCAACTAAGCTCTGGCCTCTTGCAGCAGAGGCATCAGTCCCCATACTACCTGAACCTGAAATAAGCGTCCCCAAACGTGGGGTGAGATCTCTAAACAAGAAATCTCAGTAAGACAAGGGGTCCTCAAGGATCTTCCACCCCAAGCTCACTTACATGTGTAATATAAGTTCCAAAAATATATTCAACATTATCATTTCCAAAATAGTCAATGCAGCAGAATATCATGTCATGTGTGTCAATACTATAATCTACTGGCCAGAGAATGTAGGAATACGTCTATTACCCACACATAATAGTACAAGGAACATCGCTTGCACCTCACCCCAGTCTCACCATCTTGTATGTACCACATACTCAGGCTTACCGTATAGGTGGAATACCACATGCATATCATAAAGCCATTGCACATATCAGCTCAAAAGCATTTCATTATATCAAAGCATGTAACACAGCATGCATATAACCATTCCCCATGGGGTATGGTGGAACTACACAATGGCTAAACCGAGGACACGAAAGCTTACCTTGCAAGCTAACTATCCAATGCCAAGAGTCCACACTAGCTCACACTAGCTCAAAGTCCACAAACAGATCAATCACAATCTGTTTATACAGTAATCCATCATTAATAACCATTACTCAAGGTTACATTAGGTGATTAAGTCTTTTTTACTCATTTTAACTCATTACATGCTGTTTCTGTAGGAAGTATTCGAATACTCCACGAGTAGTATTCGAATACTCCAGCTATCCAGAAATTATTCGATTACTTTCATTAAAGTATTCGAATACTACCAAGTATCCGAATACTTTCCCCCCAGTATCCGAATACCCAAGTATCCGAATACTAAACCTTACTGTATTCGAATACTCTCCAGTATTCGAATACTTCTTCAAAGGTATCTGAATACTTTTCTTCCCAGAAAAGTATTCCAATACTCCAGCAAGGAGTATTCGACTACCATTGACAAGTATTCGAATACTACACGAAAAGTATTCGAATACTTCTCCAACAGAATGCAGAAATTCGAGCTAACTTCTGCATAATGTCAAATTTAAGGATCCAAAAGCGATTGGGAGTTCAATGACTCCCTAAACAGATGTTCATTACCAAGTTATGAACTCAGAAACCAACTCCTTTACTCAAAAGGTTAAAGTTTCACTTATTAATTGATTAAACAAGCTTTAGGCCTCAAAATACACAAAGGATGATCATGAATACCTCCAAGGCACCAAAACTTCGAAAATGAAACAGAAAGGAAGCCTCCAACACAGCACCCAAGTTCTGACTTCACAAGGCTACGAAAATACACTTCAAGCTTGACCCTTTATGCCAAAAGGTGGCTTCTTGAAGCTCAAGAAGCCAAGAACAAGCCCCACTCACACAAAATCAGACTATACAACCCCTAACACTCCCAACCAACAGCAAGCATATCCTCAGAAATGCTTCATAACTCACCACCAAGGTTACCCCACACACACCCAAGTGTTTAAGTGGCAAGAACAAGGAGAAAGGTGACACCTTTGGCTCACAAGAGGGAAGGGAGATGAAGGTGGCAATGGGAGGCACAAGGCTGAAGAGAAATCAGAAAACTCACGTAGGCACATCACACATGGCCTGGGGTTTGGTGCAAGATGCATATATATAGGCACTTAAGTTTTAAACACACAGTATTAGCAATTATAGCTACGCTTAGTATTTTAATCCCAAACTCAGGATTCTGAACCTACTCAATTTTACAAGATTTATCATATTTTTATATTAATTTTCGCTGCACCTTTCCGGTACTCGCTTTCCCATAGCCAGTATCAATTCTGGCACCAGTTCTCATTATTTTAACTTGAAACTCGTTTTACAAGTCCTACATATTATTCTAAGAATATCCATACACTTATAATAATTTTCCAGGATACTTCACTGGTACGCATTTATACCGTGTAGCAGAACCTGTATCTGCACTTTTCATCAGAAACGCGACTTTCAGCATTATAACTCACTTACTATAATTATCAGAGCCTCAAATAATTATTAGGGTCAATTATAGAATTATCTCATTAAACTCATAATTAACTGATTAATTTTCTTAATTAACAGTGCGTGTTCTTACAGATACCGTCCTGGAAGTATAAGTTATGTTTTATGAACAGTGGAAACGTGTAAGGATATGATCATGGTGTACATAAGGTACAGCCGAGGAAACTTTAGTTTTCTAATCATTATAAGTATGTTAGTAGATATGATAAGATATATTGTAAGATGATACTACGAGAACAAGAGGAAAATCTAATGGGTACATAAGATATGAACAGATTTAAGATTCAGAAGAAAAAATACGATATAAGAACAAGTAAGAATTATCAGAAAAGAAATACGATATGAAATTGTTAATATGGATTATATGGTGTATTCTATGTTTGGTACTTGATATCTTCTTGTAAGAAGTGGACTCTTGGGTGGAGACTGCTCCATAAACCCCAAGTTTATCGAGATTTATTCTCACCCCACGTTATGGGGACATTTTTCAGGTACCGCAGCTGTTGGCGACCGTTCTAAGGGCAAGAAGCCCGTGGTTGATGAGTAGATCTGAGTATATATGTTATCTGCTTACTTTAGGAGTTTGCTGTGTATAAATGTTACTCTAGTTTGGTTGTATGATATTTCGATGAGGCATAGATATCAGATAGTCTTTTTGAGGCTGTACTAGCCTTTATGCATATGTGTATAATTATGACAGTAGGATGTATTATGTATATGTAAGCTGACGTAGGATTTTATAGTTATGGCATAGAGCCATCTTTTGATGTGATGAATCTATAGTTGTGGATTGTGACTGTATGTAGTTTTTGATATGTTTTGGACTTGTTGTTTATCAGATGTGTGTATTTGGTGCGATTGTAGTCCCTGGAAAGGTTCAATTTACAGCTGTCATGCTGTCCGTTTTCTGTCAGGAATAATACAAGTTATTATATTCGGGTAGATATTAGTGACTGTTTATAGTTGCTAATTAATAATTAAGTAATCAGAATAAAATAAGAATTAATAAGTTAGAAAGGTAATTATGTAATAGACTTTAAAAAGAAAAAAATTTATGTTACTTAGTCTGTGGTAATCAATAGTGATTTAAAATAAGTAAAGTCTTCCGCTAATTAATTAACTAAGTCAAGTTTTATGACCATAAGTTAGGTAACAAACCGGCTCGAGACGGGGTGTTACAGAGTAGCCCACAAAGTGGTGAGACAAATCTCAGTAAGTGGTAAATCATACCACACAAAATGCATCAAAAGTTGTTAGCACAACACAAGGTACTCAAATTCACACTTATAAGGCAGTTTTATAGCATAGAACCATTAGGAACAATCTCCCTCAATTGTGATTAATTTCCTTACAGCAGCATAAAGCCATGAGGTGTGAGTTCCTCCATGGTAATAAAAAAAATTCAGCATCATAAGTAATCAGCACACACAAGATTACATTACAGCATATTCATACATATCAAGAGGGGTTCACACACTTACCTTAAGGATGTAAATTTTTATTCGATGCTTGAGCTTTCTTATTTTCCTCCCTCCTAGCGCTAACCACACCTATAGAACCCCCAAAATAGAAATTTTCAGCTAGCATTCTACATTTCTAATTTTTCTTCCCACATAATCGAATTTCTCCTGGCACAAAATAGAAAACTCAACCGCATATAATGCTCATTCCTAACTCCTATACAATTCAAATGTCTCTAGACACTTCATATGCATCACTTTTCCTCACCTCTGGCTACTAGATCAAAAATTTCAGAAAAGAATGTGAGAATTGGTTCATTACTCGAATTTTCAGAGAGGAAAAGGAGCTATATTTGGGCAAATTCAAGGAAACAAAACAAGGTCCAGTCTTCTTCCTTCTTTAGGTGAAGATTACATGCAAGGCAAGTAAAGAGTTTTCGGTTTTGCATCTTTGACAGCTTGCTGGCCGCACCCAAAATAGAGCAACGGAAGAATTTTTGTTTCTATCCAAGAAATCGAACCAAAAAGGAGACTTGGAGCTGCTGTTGGAATCGACACATACAAATTGCACAAATTGAGAAAACAAAAAAGAGAAAGGGAAGAGAAATTCACATAAAGGTTTACTGGATCACTCAACGCCAGACTACATCAAACTTGTATGAAATATATTCAATGTTACAAGTCACTTGGTTTACAAAAGAAATATAAATAGACTTTAGAAAATCCTAACAACAGCTATTTATGGCCTGACCCCAAACTATTAAGAAAAAAATTATAATAACTCAGAGGCCACATACCTGGTTGCCCCGGGCAATTGGACCTCGCTAGCAAGAGTGCTCATCTGAATGTGAAGTATGAGTCATACCCAACATGACCATAGAAAAATCCTATGAGAAGTGAGGTGATGCTTCGTTTAAGGAGGCAGAACATGCAAGGAAGGCTGAAGGAGCTGGAGTGGTTCGATTTTTAGGAAGAAAGGTCGCATGTAAGGGCTGGAGTTGAAGGTGATGAGTGAGAGAGAGAGAGAGAGAGAGAGGAAAGCTTGCAACTGTGAGAGAACAAGAAAAAGTGAGGATGGATGCTCTCTTTTAAGAGGGCGCATGCAAGGAAGAACGCTCAGCATTTAGGAAAGATATAGAGTTCGACAAAAGCAAGGGAAGAAGAAAGAATTAAATGGTGAAAGATAAAAGAATGGATAATGCATTTCTCTCCTCTAATTTTCACCTCCTTACTAATACCCCAACCTATTACATTTTAATTTAAAAGCCACTGATGTGATCAAAACAATGATTAAAGGTACTAACTTAATTAGATTTATCAATTGTAGACAATTTAGAATTTTCTTAAAATTTCTTTCCTAATAACTCAAAATTTAAAATAAAATAAGCAAGCTTATAGAGAATTTTTTTAATTTAAATAAACAAGTATTTAATTAATAGTACTTAATTCAATAATTAACTGAATAAACAGTTTACTAATTAATTAAATAATAATTTCCACTGTAACGAAAATTCATATTAAGGTGGAATTGGGTTGTCACAAATTTTATGAGTTGGAAAATTAAAATTGAAAAATTCTTTTATTTAGCAAACTGATTTCTTGAAAAATTAAAACTAAGATTCAGGAGTATGATTATGGATAAAGAAGAGCGGAAACTTAATCTCATTGTATCCCTGATACATCAATTTAAAAAAGATTACCTTTAGTTAATTTTGCTAATCAATAGTATATTTCATAATATCTACCTCATTCCTAAAATAATTGAAAGCTAAAATTATGAAATAAACCCAACGTAATGTATAAAAAAGTTGGAAAGTGAAAATAAAATATTTCTATTAAGTAAAATAAAATATTTCTATTAAGTAAAATAATTTGTATTTTCTTTTTTAAAAAAATATCAAAAATAAATTCGCAACTCTACGGAGTTTAAGATAATTGTTATACGAAGACTCTTGCAACGATACAACAAGTGAAATGATAAACATACAACAACATTGTCTATCATTGCATAAATCTCGAGATTTTTATTAACGAATAAGATACCCTCTTTTTCAATAAATTGGCAAGTAGAATTTTTTTTATTTTAAAATAACTCCATGTTGTACAAAGTCTAAGATAGTGTATATATACGAAAACTCTTTCGATACATATGATATTTGAGGATAGCAAATTATACAACTAGTTTCTCATATTGTCAGATGGATTATTTATTTATTTACTTATTATTTTTTTGAAATTAATTGATCTAACTAATAAATTTGATTTCTTTACTTTATTAACATTATTATCCCTAAGAAGAAAACACAATTAGAAGATTATTAGAATTCAAAAACTAACTAACCAAATGGTGGTAGCTCACCAAATGGTGGTAGCTCAGTTGGCGCATGGGAGCTAAGTAGGTGGGGGGAGTGAGAACATGTGTTCGATCCTCCCCAATATCACCTTTGGGAGGGGTTTAAAACCTTAATCTTGGACCCGCCCTGAATCGGAATAGTCGTAAAGCAATGAACCAATTGGAATATTTCAAAAAAAATAAATTCAAAAACTAAATGATTTATTTACAAATGAAACATGGTTTTATTTTATTTTTTTGTAAGAGAGAAAGGCAAAGCCCAACAACTAGGAAATTACAAGCAAACAATTGTCAGCTCCCCAACTGTCGTAGCATGTGCCTAATGTCAGGAGAGGGATCTGTAGATCAAAGTATGTTACAAGTCCCACATTGGTTGCCTATACAACTAATGTGGGGTTTAAAAGGCCATGGGTACTCTCACCCTTTGAGCTAGCTTTTGGGGTGGTGATCTCAAGGTCCGTAACAATTGGTGCTTTCATTAAGAGTTGAGGCTACGGAAAAGGCTACCTATAGGCTGGATTAAGGTGCCTTTGGGCACTGAATACTGAAAGGTGAGTGAAGCCGCCAGGGGAAAAGGGCTAGCGTCGGGTCAGTGTCGATAGAGTGAAAGCCGCCGTGGACGTCGGCCCTTAAAGGGGGTGGCAATGTTACAAGTCCCACATTGGTTGCCTATACAACTAATGTGGGGTTTATAAGGTCTTCACTCACCTATCAGTATTCAGTGCCCAAAGACACCTTAATCCAGTCTATAGGTAGCCCTTTCCGTGGTCTCAACTCTCAACGAAAGCACCAATTGTTACGGACCTTGAGATCACCACCCCAAAAGCTAGCTCAAAGGGTGGGAGTGCCCGAGACCTTATAAACCCCACATTAATTGTATAGGCAACTAATGTGGGACTTGTAACAAAGTATCCCTGCCCAGTATTAGCAGCAAAGGTGGCTAGCCAATGGGCACAACCATTTGTGTCCCGATGCATGTGGTTGCTTCTTAGATTCCAATCTTTTTCATTTCAATCATTCAAGAAATCTTGCAATAACATTTGAGTCCCTCAATTCAAGATTAGCAATGGGTTTTGCTTGAAGAAAGATATGTACAAAAGATTTTACTATTTACCAATTATACAAGTTAATACAATAAGAATAAAACTAATAAATTCAAAAATAAAATAAGCCAAATGAAAAAAAGAACATAACCACTATTATAATATTTATTTATTGTTATGGACCGAAACCATATCTCAACAACTTATCCAATAAAGGATTAAGGCATATCTAAACAATATCCTAACTAACAGATGATCAAGGAATGAGACTCTCATCCTAATAGTGATTCTAAAAAGCTAACAACATGGAGATACCTAAGCCCCAAACCCATAGAGATAAACATTATAAATAAATGCTAAAGATCTCCGGTACACACTTTTGAACTCATTCTCTATTGCTGCCAACATTGTGCACACACGTCTTGGCTATACGTCTATTATCAGTGCACGATGATTGGTACATTGACTTTGAGTCAATATGACATTTCTCTCATAGATATCTCTGAGTGCATACCTATACGGTAAATATTCACGGTCTATCTAAACCGAACACTTATATCATTTCTTTTAGAAAGAAAAAATTATTCCCAAAAAATATATACACGTTTTCTTTTCCTTTTTTTTGGAAATTTTAATCAATTACACAAGAGATAATGGTCTTATAATAAGCAATAACCACATACTTTAAAAATTACCAAATATATATAATCTATGTTTAAAATAACATTTCCTAACTGAATCTTAATAAATCAAGCAAAACACTAACGATTTTTTTATTCATTTACATATTTTTTATGCTTTTTTTTAAAAAAAAAGACGCTATTTAGTTTTTTCTTGAAAGCATAAGATGATTTAAGCTAAGTATTAGAAGAAAGAATGGAAAACTGTATATTCATCTATGTGCTTTACAAAAGATATCTCTGATATATATATACAAGAGAAAAAAAGAGTAAAAGGAATCTCCTAACAAACTGTAACAAAATGAACCAAAGAAAAACGCACCACTACTGCACGTGGTTTGTTACAACAGAAAAAGTGAGATAAGAACAAAACAATATCTAACTAATATTAATTCACTAATCACAATCTTAACACTCCCCCCTCAAGATGGAGAGTGTATGTTCAACACTCCCATCTTGTCAAGCAATGTTAGAAATTGTCTAGGAAATAATGGCTTGGTAAGCAAATCTGCCTGCTGTAGTTGGGAAGGAATATACATCACCTTCACCTCCCCTTTTGACACATTTTTTTCTAACCAAGTGACAATCTATCTCTATGTGTTTAGTCCTTTCATGAAAAACTGAATTTTCTCCAATGTGTAGGGCTGCTTGATTATCACAAAAAATCAAGCATGGTTCTTGATGCAGTATGCCAAAATCAAGCAAAAGAGATCGTAGCCAAATTAATTCACATGTCACATTAGCCTTTCTCTATACTCTGCTTCAGCTGATGATCTAGCCACTGTTGGTTGTTTCTTTGACTTCCAACTTATCAACGAGTCTCCTAGAAAAACACAAAAACCAGTAATTGATCTTCTAGTGTCTGTGCATGATCCCCAATCTGAGTCAGAAAAAGCTCTCAACTTCAATTGTCCAGAACTAGGGTAAAAAATGCCTTGTCCAACTGTCCCCTTGACATATTGCAGTAACCTATGAACAACATGAAGATGTGGTACCCTCGGATGAGCAAGAAACTGGCTAAGTTTATTTACAGCAAATGACAAATCTGGTCTAGTAATGGTTAAGTATAACAACCGTCCAATTAATCTCCTGTAAGAAACTGGATCATCTAACAAGTCACCCTCCTCTTGAGACAACTTGATATTCGGTTCCATTGGAGTGGCTTTTGATTTACAACCAGTAACTCCAGCATCTTTTAAAATCTGTAGTGCATATCCTCTTTGGCAAATGGAAATCCCTTTGCATGAACGTGCAACTTCCAATCCAAGGAAATACTTTAAATCACCAAGGTCCTTCAATTTAAATTGATTGTTTAAGTAATCTTTCAGTTGCTGCACTTCAGTATGATTACTTCCAGCCACTATGATGTCATCTACATACACCAAAACAGCAAGAAAACATCCGCCTTTGTTCTTAACAAAAAGAGAAGAATCTCCAATGGATTGTTTGAAACCATGAGTAATTAAAACTTGAGAAAATTTATGGAACCACTACCTTGATGCTTGTTTAAGTCCATACAAGGACTTATGTAACTTACAAACTATATTTGATGAAAGAGGCTCCCCCTCATGGAGATAACCGAGAGGTGGAACCATGTACACTTCTTCAGTTAACTCACCATAGAGAAAAGCATTATTAATGTCTAAATGAGTAAGGGACCAGCCACGCAATGATGCCAAAGCAAGCAATAAACGAACAGATGTTACCTTTGCTACTGGAGAGAATGTGTCAAAAAAATCAACTCCCTCTTGTTGATTGAAACCTTGAGCTACTAAACGAGCTTTATAACGTTCCAGGGTACCATCTGCATGAAGCTTAACTTTGTAGATCCATTTGCAACCGATGGCTCTGATACCATATTAGAAGAAAGAATGGAAAACTGTATATTCATCTGTGTGCTTTACAAAAGATATATCTGATATATATATACAAGAGAAAAAAAAGTAAAAGGAATCTCCTAACAAACTGTAACAAAATGAACCAAAGAAAAACGCACCACTACTGCACGTGGTTTGTTATAACAGAAAAAGTGAGATAAGAACAAAACAATATCTAAGCATATTTATCAAGTTCATCTACATGCAGCAACAACGTTGAATTCAGGATAAAATGTTCGTCAAAAAGTTTCTTTTTTTTTATATATACAAAGCTCTGTACCAAGTCTTTCCAAATTAAAGGAGTTACCAAAAAAATCTCATATTCAAGCAGGATGCAAGGCATCATACATATTTTAGAATGAAAATGTGGTTCCACAGGGACTAGTATTTGAAGAAAGAAAAAAAACATCGAAGAAGGCAATGGTCAATAATATATAAAGACAGTGTACCATTCTTACTTACACCAAATTGGTCATACAAAATCAACAGCCAAAGAGTGATTCATCATTTTGGTTTTTTATCAAACATGTAGTGTACAAATGCATAAACATACTAACTTTCAGGATTATCACAATACTTATGCCATAGGAGCTTAAACATATACAATTTCACTTCACGCACATACTCCCTAAGGTATTCTTGGTGTATATTAAGATCAAAAGTAAGAATTTATTTAAAGTTATACTACCCACAAATAGCTTCTAAAAAATTTACAGATCTTCTTTGTGCTTAGTCCCAAGTCTTTGATACTCCGCTTTTGTCTCTTCTGTTCCACTAAGGGAGAGTTTGGTAGAGGAGAAATTTTTTTATTCTTATGAATCACAATTTCTAAGAATATGCTGGGAAAGTGAATTTCCCGAGAATATTACAAAAAATTATTTGATAGGTCAAAATATTCCTAAGAATGTTGGAATAAGTTTCCTGATTCTATGTTTAGTTGATTGTCAATGATTTTTGGGAATATGAGCTGATTTTACACAACTAAATAAGTACAATATCTAATACTAAACTTCAGTAAAATTGGTTGAGAGCTATTGAAAGTCAAACACCAAGCTCCAAATGATTTGACAATTTAACATGCTGGGGATTTCAGTTGCATTATAAATTTATTTTAAAAAATAAAAAATAAAAACTGTGTTGCAAATATTATCCAACAAAAATTAAAGATCACTAACTAAAAAAATATTGGGCAACAAAAATAATGTTGCAGTGGGAAGAAACCAAGATAGATGATTTTCCACAATTCTTAGTAATGAACTAAATAGGCCATAAACATGAATTGGAATTTAATAAATGAGTAAAACTTGATTCTTTCCTCATTGCACATGAAAGAAAGAATATAATAAGATCATTAATGTTAGTGCAAAGAATAACGATATATGCAAAAAGAAAAATATCTCAATGAAACAACATTGTTGTACAAAAAATTAATTTAATTTGCGGTTACCAATTTGTTCTAACAAGAGAAGGTATTTCAGTCATGGAAAATATTAAAGCAAGATTATTTAAGTCCTATAAATTACATAAAATTTTCCCACTAGGTGGGAATCCAAGAATACCACCCCATGTGGAATTATTTCATGGGATTCTTATTCACAATTTTAATTCCTAGGAATATCATTTTTCCAGGAAAATTTTAAGAATCCATGTACCAAACATGGATAACTAGGATTCTCAATGTCAATTTTCTGGGAAACCAAACTTTATTCCTCTACCAAGCAGCCCCTAAACTGATTTTTTTGTTTTTGAGAAAATACATTTTCTTAGTAAATTCTTAGAAAATATTTTGAGCTCATAATATATATTTTCAATATTTAATTCTACCAATAGTAACTTAAATTAATAATCACATAAAAGTTTCACATAAGTTAAGGACCAAATCTTGAAAACATTATACTAATAATACATGTGTAAATTTTAAATTTTTTGTGAGTTGTGTATGCACAGGTGTGCGTGCATTCGTGCAAGTGAGTTTGGTTTTATGGACAAAATTATAAGATTTACACTTGCCTTTAGAAACATATATTCTGCTCTTAAGCGGTCGAATCTGAAGTTGCCATCAGAAATCAACTTTTATAGCTTCTTGAGCTATCGCTCTCTTTTTTGGTAATTGATAGGGCTAAAGCCCAAAAAAAAACTAGTGGACTACGAGGGCACGAGCCCTCCTTACAGAAGAAATATCAGCTAAATACAGCAAATGAATTCCCAGAGGAAGATCCTGGCAAATAACAACATTAACACCCCCCATAATCTAAGATGAAGTTTGCCATCCAATCAGCACACATGTTTCCCTCTCTGTAAGTATGTCGTATTTTAACCCTCCAATCTTTTTGTAACCAATTCTATATGCGAGTGATAACTCTCTTGTGGAGAGTTATTTTTAGGCTTTATTAACATGATTTGGTTCCATATTATATCATAATTCCCTTAAAATTGCATGATATTAGCATTAATCTTGTCTCCTTATATTTTGATTGAGAAATGTGCTAAGTGTTGTTATTTGATGTTATTTCGAGTGCTAGAGAAATTCACTTTCTTTGTTATTTTTGTTGCAGATCAGAGCCGTAGCAATCGGGCTTAAGTGAAACGTTGCGTTGAAGGTGCAAGAAGTAACTAACTTTCGAAATTCAAATCCAAACAGAAAGATAAAGACGCTATAGCACTGGATCAGGATAAGGAAGTTGTGCAAGGCAAAGGATAAGCACATATCACTTCCAATAACAAGATTTTGGCTAACAAGAAGATCAAATCAAGCTTAAGGGATAAACATTTATCCTATTCAGAGGCTATTTTTCAAGGAATAACAACTTGGAGCCTAAGTCACCATTTTCTATATAAAGAGAGTTACATCACTAGATAAGGATCGGATCTCCAAGCTTGAATCTCCACTCATTTCCTCAAAAAGTTAGTTCCCTCTATTGAGAGTTGCGTACTGCTTGGCTTTAAGGACTTGCACCCAAAGTTGACCATTCTAAGTGAACACTTCCCATGCCCTCTTGGCAATAAAGGCATACCAACTTCTTCAATCCACGACCACCGAAACTTTTAGGCAACGTGATTGTATTCCAATTGACCAAATAATGTCAACGCATTCCATCATGATCACCCCTGTGAAATACCTCTAGATTCTCTCGATCTCCATGCACACGATGAAGGGATTTTGCAACTTTGCATTTGGAAGTAAGGCACAACTACGTACCATAACTGAGTGAGCCAAAGTAATGTGTCTAGCTTGGGATTGAAAGTAAAATGGCATTGAAGGTCGTAGCATGTGAGAGGGAAAAACAAAATTTTTCATATGCAGAATTACACATGCAATCAAGAATCATGCTTTATGGCATGTGATGTTACCTTTGTTTGTGAGTTCAAAACTCCAAGACGATCAATGTTAGGTTTGAAGGGTTCAAACCCTCTAACGTTGATCCACACCACCCATGTCAAGATGCAAGAACGCTTTCTTGAAAGCCACCAATTAACCACCATAGAGAGGCTTGCTATGCGCTCAATAGGTGAAGAAGAAGGCTAGGTATATGTGTTTAGAAGAGTGAAGTCTCCAGCATGAAAACTTCACAAGAGTGGGATTGGTATATCGAAGAATTGGCTAGGTTCTTTTGAAAAACCCTAAGGAGGAACTCACCAACTAGGCACACAAGAGAGGGAGAGAATTAGTGTATCAAATCATAATTTTTACTCTCTCTTTTTTTGGTACATTGCCAGGAGGTATCCCCATTCAACCTTCTCCGGGCACCATGCCCTCGGGGTACGGCCCGTTTGGGCTAGCCCCTCATTGTAACAGTGGGTGCACTAAGCTTCGCAATTAGAGAAAGGACGAGACTAATCCCCCAACCGAAGATTTTTTGGCTTATCCTCTGGCCCCAAAAGATTTTCCAAGAAACTGCTTGAGGCAGGGTTTGATCCCTGCACCAAGCAATCCCTTGGGAGCTCAGCTGCCAACTGAGCTACCCTTGGGGGTTCAAAATTTTTACTTTACTTATAATGAAAGTGGCGCACAAGTGAGTGAGACAAAGGTGGAGTTGTTGCAATTCAAAAATCCCAACAACCTCCCCTTTGAATCCTCACAAGACTAGGTCTTTATCTAGTCAAAATTCTGAATCAATGGTCATCATATGACCACCAATTCATGCGCCCCTATTCAGCCCAAAAAGGGTCCAGATACATTTGAGCTGTTGCATTCAAGTTTGAACCAACTAGCTCACTGATTCTCTCAACAACCAAATCTGATTGGAGCTTGTTGGTTTGACAAGATGACAATCATCTCCCACCAAAATGGCGCCCCAAATCAGCCCTTGGAGATCTCCATAGATCTTCTCTTAATACAAGGGATTTGTTCCAACAAGATCTCATCTTATCCTTTTGTTATGAAACAATTTTTCATAGCCAATTCAAATTTGAATTCAAACATTTAAATTCAAACGTTCAAACATTTAAATTCTAAATTCAAATTCAAATTTCAAATTCAAATTCAAATTTCAAATTCAAAATTCAAATTTCAAAATTCAAAATTCAAATTCAAAATTCAAAATTCAAAATTCAAAATTCAAATTTCAAATTCAAAATTCGAATTTCAAAATTCAAATTCAAAATTCAAATTTCAAATTCAAAATTAAAAATTTAAATATTTGATAATTAATTTAACTAATTAAATTAATTAGTAATGTCTTGGACCATCCAAGCCTATTAACAATACCATGCGCCCTCTCCCTCTTAGGTGGGCTTCCAAACTTCATCTTGGGCTAACAACCATTATTAGGCCCAATACCTTTAATGCTATATCATCATGACATTAAGGTGTTAGTGTGTGACCCATTAGGTCAACATAGCCACTGACATAAATGCGCTCGGGCCCAACAAGCCCACAACCCATTTAATGCCAACACAGAGCACTAGCAATGCTTTGTTGCCCCAGAGCTAGTTAGATTAATTACTTGATCATCCTATTACACATATTTGGTTGCCGTATGTATTTCTTTTCGTCTCGGTTACCTTCCCATAAAACCTAGGGTAAGGAAGCGTATCAACCCTTGCAGTTTAGGGTAAGCTTTATTCGAAATAGGGAATCTTCAATTTACTGACTCTAAAGGCAGATCATCTCATGATCTCTTTTACTATGCATAGATTCCCGAGTCCCTGTAAATGTCATCCCGATTTCTCCGGTTTACAGATAACCTAATCTCTCACAGAGATTTGACGAATTCCTTCAGCTTATCACCCTAGCCATGTGCTCTTTCAGGACAAGCCCAACAGTATACCTATGAGTCTCCATGTTTTAGGCAGACGAGGTATACAGTCAAAGCATGCCTTCTAGAACACAGTCTAGGTAATAACTTCTGGTCTAAGGAAAGACATACCCAAATATAAAGAGACTACTCTGATGATACTATCTGTGAGATTTCCTCATAGAGTCTCTTTGTGGGTCGTCTGTGTGAGCTATACCCTTATAGGTCCACCCACGACTTTAGCTAAGACATCTCCATATCTGTAGCACATGAGGTCTTTACCTTGTATCCAAATACAAGTAGATAAGTCGTGCCAGTCTTACCCGAGATCACTGATCCCCATTCTCAGTGTCTCTAGACTAGGAACATAAAATTAGGAATAAACGTGCGGTATCCTTGAATCCTCATGATCGTGATCTCATCACAGATACTCAAGAGATACCTGTTCTATTCCAAGGGATTTATCCAGTTACTCATATAAAATATTAACAATAATATTAAGACAAAATATGAAACAGGATAAAGAGTGCTTTTATTTATTTGCGACAATATAAAAGGTCCACATATGTCCTAATCTAATCAAAAAATTGTCTCTAGGACATCCATATACTAACAGGGATAAACATTGTTGATGCTAGTTATTTAGTTTGGATTTGACCTTCTCAACAATGATAGCATATAGGTCTTTCATTACTCTCCCATGCTACACCATTGATCATGTAACACCCCGTATATATCCGGTAATGTTATCATACTATCATATTAAGCTGCGCTTAATTAAAAATGCGGAATATCTTTTTCTTTACAATTATGATGTCATTATCATTACCAACTTGCTTATTAATCAATTAATAAAGCATCGCCTGTATGCAATTGCAATAAAACAGCTAACTGAAATACCTCATAACATAGATAATATAAGTGTGTCTCTAGAAATCACGGGACTACCACAAGTAGGCCGGACCAACTAGCAGGTTATACAACTCCAATCCAAAAGTGCTAACATAAAGTGTCATGGACAATCCATATGTTCACTCAAATAAGGCAATAAGCCCAACATCAGTCTCAACAACAACATAATCATAAATAGCGAAAAACATAAACATCATCCAAATCCAATCATGGCAGCAATACAGCATAAACATCATAATCAGCTAAGCTCTGGCCTCTTGCTGCCAGAGGCATCAGTCACCATACTACCTGAACCTGAAATAAGCATTCCCCAAACGTGGGGTGAGATCTCTAAACAAGAAATCTCAGTAAGACAAGGGGTCCTCAAGGATCTTCCACCCCAAGCTCACTTACATGTGCAATATAAGTTCAAAAGCAGTTTATCATCATCAGTTCTAAAATAGTGCAATGCAGCAGATAATCATGTCATGTGTGTCAATTCTATTCTACTGGCCAGAGAAATGCAGGAATAAGTATACGTCTATTACCCACAATTAGTGCAAGACGCCACTTGCATTCACCCCGGATCACCATATCGTATAACGCCACATACTCAAGCTTACCGTCAAGATGAAACAACACATGCATATTAAAGGCCATTACACATAAAGCTCAACAGCATTTCAAATATTCAAAGCATGTAACACAGCATGCATATAACCACACCCCCATGGGACATGGTGGAACCACAACATGGCTAAACCGAGGACACGAAAGCTTACTTTGCAAGCTCACTATCCAAAGCCAAAAGTCCTCACAGCTCAAGTCCAACACACAGCAGATCACAATCTGATTTAGGACCAGCAAGTGTATCAACATACATAGCTCAAAAGCATTAATATAAAGACTACGTTTCCTTTTACGTTTTACGTCTTAAAGCTTCCACAAAGCGATAAGCCCTTAATCACATGATTCTGACTTAGTTCATTAAATACAGAAGTTCAACTTCATCAATCTAGGGTCCACAAACCCCAATAGCGTACTGTACACACAGCATAGCTACTGTTCTACGAAATCCCTGAATATCCGGATATTCCTCGGGTGCATATCCGGATATCCA